CCACCTATTTACCCTTCTATTGGTCTCCTTATTTTGAGCCATCCATTTCAAGGGAGCGTGATCTGTGATCAGGTCAAAATGTCTGCCCAGCAGATAGTACCGAAGGGAATCTAGGGCCCACTTCACCGCTAAACACTCCTTCTCAATCGTGGCGTAATTTTCCTCGTGAGACTTTAGCTTTCGGCTGAGATAGATTACCGGGTGCTCCTCCCCCTGCCAAACCTGGGACAGCACTGCTCCTAAGCCAACATTGGATGCATCCGTCTGGACCACAAAGTCTTTTGAGAAGTCTGGGGAGTATAGGACTGGCTGGCTACATAAGGCCCTTTTTAAAGACTGGAAGGCTGCTTCAGCATCAGGGGACCACTTAACCATGACAGGCTCCTTCCCTTTTGTCAGGTTGGTTAGGGGTACTGCCATAGAAGCAAAATGGGGAATGAATCGCCGATAGTAGCCAGCAATTCCTAGAAAAGCCCGTACCTGCTTTTTGTTATTTGGGCGTGGCCAATTCTGTATTGCTTCCACTTTGTTTATCTGAGGTTTTATTACCCCTCTCCCAATAGTGTACCCCAGGTACCTGGCCTCCTCCTGTCCAATCGTACACTTCTTTGGGTTGGCCGTAAACCCAGCTTTCCATATTGAGTCTAGCACAGCCTGAACTTTTGGCAAATGTGAGGCCCAGTCTGCGCTATGGATAATCACATCGTCCAAGTACGCTGCAGCATACTTCTGATGGGGACGAAGAATCTGATCCATTTTTCGCTGAAAGGTGGCCGGTGCATTCTGTAACCCGAACGGCATTCTTTTATACTGGAATGACCCTTCTGGGGTTACAAATGCAGTCTTCTCCTTTGCCGACTTAGCTAGGGGAATTTGCCAATAACCTTTTGTCAAGTCTAGCGTTGTCATGTACCGGGCTGCTCCCAGTCGGTCGATTAGTTCATCTATCCTTGGCATGGGGTAGGTGTAAAATTTTGTAACTTTATTCAACTGTCGAAAGTCGTTACAAAATCGCCAGCTCCCATCTGGTTTGGGCACCAACACTATGGGGCTGGACCAGTCACTTTGGGACTCCTCTATCACCCCCAAATCTAGCATTCTCTGTACTTCCCCACGTATTGCCTCCCGTCGAGCCTCTGGGATTCTATAGGGTTTCAGTTTTACTCTTTCACCCGGTGGGGTGATAATGTCATGCTCCACCCCCGAGGTTTGTCCCGGCAGCTCAGAAAAAACATCTGTGTTGCGGAGCACAAACTCTTTAGCCTCCTGTTTTTGAACTGTAGACAGCGTGACTGCTATTCCAACCTCCGGAACCAAGCAGTTAGATGGCGCTGGTGACAAACCCTCAGCAACTAGGGATTCCCTGTCCCTCCAGGCCTTTAGCAGATTAATGTGGTAGATCTGCTCCGGTTTCTGCCTTCCTGGTTGTCTGACCCTGTAATTCACTTCACTCACTTTCTCAATCACCTCGTAGGGGCCATGCCATTTGGCCAGGAATTTGCTTTCAACCGTAGGGATTAGCACTAGCACTCTATCTCCTTCAGCAAATGACCTGGTCCGGGCCCCCCGATTGTACACCCTCTGCTGCGCTAACTGTGCTTGGGACAAATGTTCCTTTACGATAGGCATGACCTGGGCAATTCTATCTTGCATTTGGGCGACGTGCTCAATCACACTCCGATGGGGAGAACTCTCACTTTCCCAAGTTTCCTTGGCAATATCTAACAGCCCCCTTGGGTGTCTCCCATAGAGCAACTCAAATGGTGAAAACCCTGTGGAGGACTGGGGTACCTCCCGGATGGCAAACATCAAATAGGGTACTAAATAATCCCAACCCTTTCCATCCTTATCTACCACCTTCCTTAGCATTTGTTTCAGGGTTTTGTTGAACCTTTCCACCAACCCCGTCAGTTTGGGGATGATACACAGAGGTGCGCAACTGTTTGACCTGAACAGTTTGCACAGCTCTTTCATCACCCGGGACATAAAGGGGGTTCCCTGATCCGTCAGCAGTTCCTTTGAAATACCCACTCGGCTGAAAACGAGGAATAGCTCCTTAGCTATTGTCTTGGCAGAGGTATTTCGGAGTGGAATTGCTTCTGGATAGCGGGTGGCATAGTCGAGTATGACCAACAGGTACTGATGCCCCCTAGCGGATTTCACCAGCGGACCTACCAAATCCATGGCAATCCTTTCAAAGGGGACCTCAATGATGGGAAGAGGTACCAGTGGACTACGGAAATGGGGCATAGGGGCCGACTTCTGACACACAGGGCAAGAGGAACAGTAATTTTTCACCTCCTTAATGACCCCAGGCCAATAGAACCGCTGCAGTACTCTTTCCCGTGTTTTCTCCGCCCCCAAATGACCCCCAAGGATGTGTCCATGGGCCAACTCCAACACCAACTTCCTGTAAGGTCTGGGCACCACCAGTTGCTCAATGGTTTCTTCTGCCCCTTGAGCAACTCGATAGAGTAGGTCCCTTTCCACAAGGAAGTATGGATAAGCAGCAGTTTTCTCAGGACTCACTAGTTGACCATCTACTTTTACTACATTTTCCCGGGCTTTTATCAGTGTGGGGTCTTTCAGCTGTTCGGTTGCAAAATTTTCCCTATGCACCTCTAAGTCCGAGAACTCCACAACCGGCAGATTTTCATCTGAGGAGGCGGGCTCCTCCTCAGTTCCTTGGGTCTCCCCAGCTAGTACCGACAAGGGGAACTTAGGAGAGACCTCACCACACTCAGACGCTTTCTGGGATTCACCTTCCTTGTCTGCAGGGGAGACAGTGGGGGGGTCAGAACAATCCCAGAGTTCCCAGAATTTTGGAAAATCCCTCCCCACAATGGCATCATGTGGTAAATGAGGTACCAATCCTACCTGATGAGACAGGTTACCTTTGGGGGTCTCAAAAAACACAGTAGCCACGGGATACTCCCTAGTGTCCCCATGCACACAAATCACCGCCACCTTTTTATGCCCAGAGACCTTTGTAGTGACCATCTCCTCTCTTATCAAGGTTACCAGGCTACCTGAATCTAGCAACCCCACAATATTATTTCCATTAACAGTCATTTTGCACAAATGTTTCTCAGTGCCCGGGCTGGCCGTGCATACCACTGTCGCAAACAGCGACTGACGTCTATTGCTCAGAAAGTCACACTGCATAGGCTCATCCACCACTGGGCAATTAGCTGCAATGTGTCCCTCTTGCCGGCAGCGGTAACAGACAATTTTTTTCCCCGCTTCTTGCAGCCTTGGCCTTCCTGGCCGCTCTTGCCAGACATTGGGTAACACTCCCACCCTCTCACTCTCTCCACCCTCACCCCTTGTAGTCATCTTACCCGCCGCTGGGGATGGTCTGGTCTTAGGGTGGAAAGTCCGTGAGTCTCTGGAAGAGGAGGTCAGGTTCTCAGTAGCCAAGTATCTCTCCACTAGATCCACCAGCTTGTCTGCAGTTTCTGGGTCTCCATGGCTGACCCACTTTTGAATAGTAGTAGGCAGAGACCTTAGGAACCGATCCATGACGACACGTTCCACAATTTTTGGGGCGGTCAAAGTCTCTGGCTGCAGCCACTTCCTGCTCAGGTGAATGAGATCATACATCTGTGACCTGGGAGGTTTCCCAAGCTGAAAAGTCCAATTATGTACCCGCTGAGCACGGACAGCGAGGGTAACACCCAACCGGGCCAAAATTTCCACTTTTAGCACATCATAGTTTTTGGCTTGGTCCGGCTCCAGGTCATAGTAAGCTTTTTGCGACTCTCCAGTTAATAATGGGGCCATCAGTCCAGCCCACTGTTCTTTAGGCCACTTTTCCCTTTCAGCAGTCCTTTCAAAGGTGGTTAGAAACACCTCCGGATCATCCTCTCCCGTCATTTTTGGCAATAAACGGCCCACAGAAAATGATGGTGTTTTACCAGAATCAGCCTCAGTCTGCTGCCTCTGCTGGAGCTGCTTCAAAACAGCCTCCATTTGTTGCTGGTGTTTCTGGTCCTGTTGCACCAGCAATTCCCTATGGCGGACCTCTGCTTGTTCCAAGGCCCTCTGCTGGGCTGCAATGCTCTGCTGGAAACTTGCATTTGCCTGTTGTTGATTGGCATTTGCCAGAGCCAACTGTCTGATTATCTCCTCCATGCTGGCCTTTAGTTACCACAACTGCCCGCCGTCCTCCACCATATGTAACAGGGTTAGCTCGGCAGCGGGTGTGTGTGACCCCCTGGATGGGTGCACAACACAAAAAAAAATAGGCACAGCACAACAATAGTGGAGGTGAAAACCAACAGGTGCAATTTATTTACAGTATTTACAGAAAAAAGGATAAACAAAAAGAAACATCAAAATAAATCCTGGCCAACTTGGCTACTTACTGCAACAACAGCTTCTCCCTAGCTACCCACTAGGTACAGCCTGCTGCTATACCTAGTTGCTAGTACTTGGAGGCTAGCCACACAGGCTTTGGTCTCTCTGCACACAGATAACAGGTCAGCTCCCCAGACAGTTCAGGCACAGATCTGGTTCCAGGGTGGAGCAACTCCCTAAGCACTCTGGGAGGTTTTATAGAGGTGTTTAATGAGCCCACTACCTTCAGCTGGGCTCATTACCTCAGTGCTGAAGGACTCAGCACTTCCCTCTAGTGGTACAAATCCCCATAAAGCCTGAACCTTGGACAAATATATCGTCCATCCAGGACGCAACCAGGTGATTTCACCTGCCTACTGTCACAATATATATATCTATATATATATCTGCCCTGTAGCACTAAATCTGCTGTAGGGCGGACAGCAGGGGGTTAATGTATTATTTAGAATTGTGACATTCTATAAAACTATGTGACAGTAGCTTTGTCTACTTCTGCCTTTTCATGTTTCTAACGGATGGACAATTATCAATCCAGTTACAAATAAAATGACTGATCTATTTAAATTACATAAATTGTTAAACCAAGATTCCGATTTTGTTATTTGATTTGCAGTATAATAAACTGTTTTAATGTTTTTCAGCCACAAGCTCTGGAGGAGCTGACTGTAGAACAAGTTCAGGATGATGTGGAAATTGAAGCTGAGGAACACACAGATGCTTTTGTGGTAAGACTGCATTTCCATTGAAAATGAAAACATTTAATTGTTAATGGTGACTTTCCATGTGTCATGTGATAAACGTAATATCAACAAGATGCCATGATCTGTAAAGCTGTGGATGCCAGTTCTGGCCACTTTGATACTTCTGTTTTAAGTGAACACTTTAGTTCAGACTAAAGGTAATGTAATATACAACGTACTAACAATACATTAAAATAGCTGCCACTTTGTGGAAATAATCTCTATTCCCTTGAAATACAACAAACTAATGAGGGAACCTCAGTTGGCAGCAGAGGTTCTATACTGAATGTAAATTTTCAGGAAGGATCAAGACTTAAGTTGCCCACACACTGATCAAAATGCAGTCAGTCCCTGCTGGATCAGAGGAATATTAATCAGTGTGTGGCCTACCCCACTGGACAGATTTTGATTATTTAAGAGACATGTCAGAAAATGTTCAGATAATCAGCAGTTGCAGCCACTGATCAGTGTATTCTGACAGTAGTGGGTGTTGCTGTCAGAATACAATGTCCCGAAGAGGGAGAAGGGGGTTTATTCCTCCATCCACCTTGTTTGTGTGGATGGAGGAACCAGTTAGTTTTTTTGTGTATGGTTAGCCTTAGAGCAGAAGTCAAGAACAGTATATTGCCAATTTCTTAGGCTTGTTTTGAGAAGAGGAAGAAACAGAATGATGACCAGACCAGGGGGTTGTTGCTCCTTCCTTTGCCTAATTACAAGCTGGGGCCATTGCTAGACCAAGCAGCATTTCCTAACAATACTGTAGTCTGCAGGCAGGTCTTAGAGAGTTTAGGAATTGTTGTCAGTGTACAGAATTACAGATTGGACAGATTATATATGTATTTGAACTGTGTATCATTTTGCCTGAAGTTAAGCTTGAGGGTAGGTTCATATCTGTGCGGATGGTTCCTGCAGCGGGTCTGCACCTGTTTCCGCAGCCGCAACCACCTGCACAGAAAAACGTGCTGGATGTGTGCGGGTGCCATTAATCCTAATGGCAAGCTGCACGCAATGGAAATCGCTCCTTCCCCGGGAACCGCACTGCACTTGCTGTTCCCATGTGGGCTGCAATTTCTAAAATGCTACAGGGACCTTTTGCCTGCGTTTCTGGAGGCACAAGAATCTATCTAGTTGGGAAACAGACAGCGATAAAAACAGCACAGAGGTATCTAGTCCTTTCCTATTCCAAAACTAAAAAAATTTATATAGATAATTTAATGATCCCTATTCTGTCATAGTCACTGCCTTCTTTTTCGTACCATCACTCACAGAAGCTATATATTATATGATTATATAAAAGCTCAAAACAGAAGAGGCTAATTGTACAAATGTACTTTAATTTATTCATAGTGTGTGTTTTACTGTTTAGTTTAGTCTTTGTTTTTCATGTAACATTGTGATTTACTTTTTCTTGATTACAGGCATATTTTGCTGATGGAAACAAGGTAGGTTTATGTTGATTTTCTGCATTTATACCGCTATGGTAGTATAACAAACTGACTCTTTCTTTTCTGCCCTGTACTGTAAATATTTCCAGCAACAAGATCGTGAACCGGTGTTCTCTGAAGAGCTTGGCCTTGCCGTGGAAAAACTAAAGGATGGCTTCACTCTTCAAGGACTATGGGATGTCATGGGATGATATCCATTAAAAGTAGCTGCCCAGTTATGATAGAGTGGTCAAAGAAGAAAATACTGTTCTTTAGGGTAATATTCCAGAGAGAGACACTGTGCATTTTATAAAAACAATTTTTTAGTTTTGATTATGGCCATGAGCATTCCAAAGCTTGTGTAGATGTGTCTTCTGCTAAAGTGGCCAGCTCCTCTATTTATAAGTGACAGAATAAGACTGGCCACAACTCTTTGCTTCATGATCTGTTGATCAATTTATAAGGCGGTCTTGTAGACCAGTTGTGAGGTACAGGAGGGGTGGGTGTATGTACTAACTTCCTTGTGGAAGATGGTAGTTGCATATTAAATTCTTACGTGTTGTAGGGCTACAGGTGCTTTAACTGCTTCCCACCCAGACCAGGTGTAGAGAGACGGTTAGGGGGATATGTCCTGAACGCTGGCTAAAAAAAAAGATATCTGGATGATGCCTGTACCTGCAGGCCTCATCCAGATATCTCCACTCAAACCTAAGGAAGTCATATGACGTCAAGTGGTTAATGATGTTGTCTTTTACAAATATACATATGGAAAGTCAATCCAGCCCAAACTAATCTTTCAAGGGGGATGCTGGCTGTCCGAACCGCTTGCTGAATTCTTTCGGGGACACCAATATTACATCTTAGTGCAGGAGTTCCTAGTTTCCCCACTTTTTGAAGAGCCTCACTTTTTCTGCTGTATTTACTGTACTGTATAATAATTTAAAGATCTGGAGATAGTGACACTTTGATTGTGAAATGTGGCTGAAGTTGGGAACTTAGGTGCACAAATCTTGTCTTTTCATTTTCCTAAGTAATAGTGGACAGAGCCTTTTAACCGTTTCCTGTCCGGCCTATAGCAGAAATACTGCTACAGGGTGGTACGGGTGCACAAAATCACGTATATATGCATGATTTTCCATCTCCGGTAGGGGGTGTGCGCACCTTACTCGCGCAACCATTCGCAGCCCGCGGCAGTGGTATTTGATTGCCTGTGCGTATATTTATATTTTGCGCTATAACAAAAAAATTTTTAAAAATAAAATACAATATTTTTACTTTTTGCTATTAAACATGTCCAGTAAAAAAATTTTAAAAATCTAATTTTGTTATAAATTTAAGCCAAAATCTATTCTGTTACATGCCTTTGCTAAAAAATCCCAATACATTTAAATTAATTGGCGATATACTTATAGCGTTTACAAATGGTGATATAGATATTGGAATTTTTTCTTTTTTTTTTAATATTTACTAGTAATGGCGGCGATCAGCAACTTATATCGAGACTGCGGCGGGCATTCAGACACTGGGGGGAACTGACTTGGTGTCACTGACATCCCCAGTGACACCAATACAGTGATCAGTGCTAAAAAAAAAAAGCGCTGTCACTGTACTATACGTGATTTTGTGCACCCGTGTCGCGCTGTAGCAGTATATCTGCTATAGGGCGGTCGGGAAGCGGTTAGAGAATATCTTTCTATATTTATAGATACTAGACGAGGGCATCTTGTATAGAACAAAAATGTTATGCTGTATAATTTACTGTACTTTATG